AGATAAATCTTTTCTTCAGAACAGAGATATGGAATGGTTCTTTTTCTGTTCAAGGGACAAAAAGTATGCAAACGGTTCTCGAACCAATAGAGCTACAAATGCCGGTTATTGGAAAGCAACCGGAAAAGATCGGAAAATTACTTGTAAATCATCACGGGGATTAATCGGATACCGAAAAGCCCTAGTTTTCTATGAAGGCCGTGCTCCATTAGGCAATAGAACTAATTGGTTTATGCATGAATATCGTCTATGCGACGATGATCTTTCGCAAAAATCACCAAACTTCAAGGTAAAAAAGAATTGATCAAACTCCATAGTATTTTCATTTCTTTGAATCAATGGAAAAACGTAAGAATCATTTGTATATGTTATAATTTCAGGGAGCTTTCGTGTTATGTCGTGTAGTTAAGAAAAATGAACTCAAGACCAATTCGAAAACGTTAAAAAACAAAAGCGAACAAGCAATTGGTTCAGGTTACTCTAGCCTCGCAAACTCCCCTTGTCGCGATGAAACGACGCAGTTTCATTCGTTCAACCCTTCTTCTACCACAAGTGACTCTTCTAGCATTTGGATTTCTCCTGATTTCATCCTTGATTCGTCAAAGGTACCACTTATTAAATTTTAAACCAAACAGCTTTTATATACGCAATATATACCGTTCTAATTAATATGTTTTGGTACGTTTTGTGATATTTAATTATAGGATTATCCTCAAATTCAGGAAGTTGCTTCTGAGTACTTTCCCAACTATCATTTTCCAGTCACATCTCAGGAATTTCCGGCTAGTTCTTCTTATTTGAACGTTGATCAGGACATTGATCAATCAGTTCATCAAACCGGTTATTGGACAAATTATGAATACCACCAAACTGGTTCATTCGATTACTCAAACCTTTTCTAGGTAGAAAGAAATATGTGGGTCACTCTTCAGGACAAAAACGCCTTTTAAGGTTGGAGTCTCGGAAGAAGATAAAATTTGGAATCTCTTACATTTTATTTTGAGAGTACAA